GGACAGTGACCATGCATGTAGCTGAACCAGGCAGAGCTTCAGTTAGTTTACCAAGTGTCCTGTCTTTTCTAAAGGGGTGATTAAGGGAGAGAGAAAAAAACTGTCTGGATCCAAGATTAAATAATACCCACTAAATCTCTCCCTTCCCATCCTCACCTTTTCCTGTAGCTTCTACCTGGTAAATAATTCACAAAACTTGCATATTAAAAATTCTCTCCTTGTTCCCCAATACCAGTTCCTCTCCTTAGAGACTTTGTGTGTGTGTGTGTGTGCGTGTGTGTGTGGGTGTGTGTCCAGAGGAATATATAAATTTGGGTGGATATAATTTACCAAAGTTTACATACTATGCACACTGATCCATCCCCTGCTCTGACTAATGAATGTATTGGGGATGGTGTTCCACGGGAGCATACATGAAGTGGTCTTATTCTTCTAAACAGAGGCTGAATATTCTCCTGCATACAGCTGATGTGTGTTTAGCCGGTTTCCAATTAATGGACAGGTAGTTTGTTTCCAAAGATTTGCTATTACTATCACTTCCTTGTGCGTTCCAAAGACGGTACATCTGTGGGTCTAGGTGCAGGCCCACCTGCAGAGTAAGATCTGAGATGTTTTCTCTTTAGTTTTCATTTTTTTTTTTTCCTTTTTGGGTCTGAAATGCACACACTCTCTCCTGTCCCAGAGAGAGGGTGTAACTGGATGAAAGTCACAGAGCGAGGAATGGGCCCAGTCAGAATCGGGACTTGGGACTCGGGACTCCTCTGGCCTCCCAGCCTGGCAGAGGCCTCCCCCCAGCCTACACACACACACATGGCCTGCTGTTTGGCAGGGAAGCAGGCGCCTGCTGCTGAGCTGGGAAAGGAGTGGTAGTGAAGCCGAGGTGTGCCAGGAGGGTGGTCACATCCCACACTGTGGACAGGGCGGCGGATTGCAAGGAGGGGAGGGGAGGATGCAAAAAGCAGCATCCAGAGAGTGAATTAAAGGGTGAGACTCCAAGGCAGGTGTCCATCCTTCCCTGCTCCATTGGAATGGCACTCTTAGCTGGGCTCCTGGCCACCCAGAATGAAACTACGTCGCTAGCCAGCCACTTGGCAAAGCTCCAGCTATGGGCTACAGGGAGGTATGTCATGGGACGGCCCCAGCGACCCTTGTTAGCAGTAGGGGTAAGCACCATCGTTCTCTCCTCACCCACCCTGCCGCGGGAGCCTGGCTGCTGAGCGAGGGCCACGGCTTGAAGAAGGACGAGGGGCTGCAAGAAGGAGCCTGGGTCCCTGCAACTTCGTGGAGCAGAGCCTGGACCTCAGGCCTCTGGACTTTTACCTGGGGTTAGACACTCCTGTCATGCTTAGGCTACCATTGATTTGTTTTTTTTTGTTTTGTTTTGTTTTTTCCTGCAGCTGAATCGAATCTTCCTGGTCCAGAAGGCCAGCGGGTTGTGGGGGTTGAGTTGTTGTGATGGCGGCAGTGGACTTATCTTGGGCTCCATTTGCTAGGTCACCTGTCAAGGCTAGATCATAAATAGAATCACGGTGATGCCAGGGACAGGGCCTGAGGGGTTGGTCCTCGCTGGCTCTGACGCTGCCTGGCTCCATATGTCACACAGCGTCCTACACAAACCTCCCCTTTGCTCTCGGTTTTCTCATCTGGAAAAATGAGAGGTTTGGACCAAACAATCTCCGATGTCCTTCCAACTGTGACGACCATGCTCTGAGTTAGCCACTTGGCCTGGATCCCTTTGGCCGCTGCATTCTCACGAGGTGGCACCCTCCCTCTGTCCCCAGGTCCCCAGGCACTTCACTGGGGCCGTGGTCACGCTTGGCCTCGCATCTGTCTTCTCCACTAAGTTCTCTGAAGCCAGGTTCTTGGACTTCTTCCACAGCCTTGCTCGGCTTCTACAACAGAGCCTCGGGCATGACAGGATGGGGGGAACGTGTCACATAGTGATAAGTAAGCAGAGTCACGTTGGCCCCCAGGACAGAGTGGCCCCCCGGGTTCTGAGGAAGGTCTGTGGTGAACCAAATCAGCCTGTGGGACTCAGCTGCCCTCGTGGGCTGATCTGATGGCACTGTTCTCCCACAGGAATGAGGGGGATCCGCTGGGGGCCTGTGGAGAGCAGAGTGTGGGCGCTGAAGTCAGGCAGGCCACTCTGTCCCTTGCCAGCTGGGTGGCCCTTGGGCCTTTGACAAACTTCCTCGATCCTTAGTTCTCTTTCATAGGGACCCCATGCCCACCCTTCAGGGTTATGGAGAAGCCTAGATGGGGTGACTCATGCCAAGCTCTTCCTGCAGCCCTGGCACCCAGCAAGGGCTTGGCGAGACTCGTTCCCTCTTGTGGCTACATCCCAGCGCACCCCTGCCGTATCCTGGGGAAAGCAGGGATAAGGTCCAGGAGCAAGGCCCAGGGCCCGCTCGCTTTCTCCAAGGAAGGGTGGTCGGGTGCAACCCTGGAGTGAGCTTTCCCCATGTGGCTTGGGGTCCAGCCTCTTCCACTTTCTCCTCCTCGACTTGACCTGCTTCCTGGGATCGCTCACTTCCCTGCACCCACAGACAGAAGCAGCCACCTTCAAGGCCTCCCGGGCTCAAGATGCCGAGTCAACACACTTCTCCGGCTAGGTCCCCTCCCTGGGTGTCTGTCATGGGCGTGTGGGCTCACCGTGAGGAGCCACAGTCCAGGAAAAGGTGCTGCCTGCCGAGAGTCAGCGGATCCCAAGCCTGGTCTGCTGCAGCCTCCAGGCAAAGAGCCGCCCAGGAGTCCACAATCCAAGGCCAAGGTCCAGGAGAGAGCCCAGCATCCGGGCAGCCCCTGGACACAGAGTGGAGACCCAGAAAGGGTTTGGGAGGGCAGCTTAATTGTTTTTTATCAGTTAGCGGGCTCCAAAGCTTGAAGAGAGTCCGTTAGACCTCGGATCCCACATTCATCTTGCTGTTTACCAGCTGTGTGACTTGGAAAAATCACTTAACTTCTCTGAGCCTTATTTCTTTCTCTGTAAATGGGGTTGAAAGTGTTCATCCAACAGGGTTGTTGTGAAGATTAATGAAATAATACAGCTTGGCATATTATATTGGTCACTATTCTTTTTTTTTTTTGTGTGTGTGTGTGTGTGGCAGGGATGGTGGTACTTAGGGATTGAACTCAGGGGCACTCAACCACTGAGTCACATCCCCAGCTCTATTTTGTATTTTATTTAGAGACAGGGTCTCACTGAGGTGCTTAGGGCCTCCCTTTTGCTGAGGCTGGTTTGGAACTCGCCACCCTCCTGCCTCAGCCTCCCGAACTGTTGGAATGACAGGCGGGCACCACTGAGCCCGACTCAGTTACTATTCTTATGGTTGTATCTTCTCCTCCTCATGACTCTGAGGAAAGTATTACCATCCTATTTCACAGATGAGGAAAAAAAAAAAGGCTCAGGAAGGTGAAGTCCTCTCCTTCACAGGCAGAAAGAGACATCGCTGCTTCTTGTCCCAGACTTTTCTCTTGGACCCGCGGCAGCTGGCAGAGAGATGGGCCAGGGACAGCTCTGTGCCCACCTGCTTGCGGCAGCTGAGGTCCCTCTGCAAGCTCTGGAGGTGGAGGCTAAGCTGCGCCCACGGCGGGTTTCTCTTCCCTACCTTGTTGCTAATTTTGGTCTCTGTGGCTTGGTCTTCCCCAGTCACAGCTTTCTGTGAAGTCCTCTTGCCCAACCCCCAGCCGGTGCTGAAAGTTGAGTGCCTCCCCGTGGGGCTCTTGGCTGAGTCTTCTAGCTCTTTCCTTCTGAGTAGTTCATTCCTCCCATGCGGTCCCTCCCACCCAGAACCCTGTGAGCATTACTTTCTCCTGGTGTGAACCCCCCAAAGAGAAGGAACAGAGTGGGTGAGTGACTTCCCTGAGTAGCTCAGGAAGAAGGTCTCTGTGGGCAGTCCCTTGGCGGCTACCTTGAGCAGAAGATGATAGAGGAGAGAATCCCAGGCCCATGACCTTCCCACTGGCCTTTGCTCTGTGCACACTGGCCTCTCTCCCCGTGTCTGGGGGTTGGCATCTTTCTGGGCATTTGTGTGCTCCCCACATGTCCACCCCGTCCCCGTCAGTGCCCACCAGCTGGCCAGTCTCCTCCACCACAGGGAAACGTCAGCCCTGCCGCCCGCTCCCTGGGCCTCTCTGACCCTTGCTGGGTGCAGCACCAGGTCCCTCCCGCCCCGAGGCCCTGTGCAGTCTCTCATGCTTCCGTCCTCCCTTCAGAGACGAGGACATGAGTCCAGAGGGTTCTCGTGACTCACTCAAGGTCACAGTCCTGGTAAGGTACAGAGCCGGGCTCCCAGCTCGGGGGGCTCGACTCTGAGCCCAGCGCCCTCCCCATCAGCAGCAGCACGGGTCAGGGGGTGGGGGGGACCGTGCTGTCTTCCCCTCTTCTGAGCCCCACGGGTGACACACACTGAGTGCCAACTCCGCTGGCCTCAGACCCAGCTTCCTCCATCCACTCAATACCCCTGGGCTGCGGCTGCTGCTTTATAGCCAAGGCAATGGAGGCCCAGAGAGGGGAGTGACTTGTCCAAGGTCACACAGAGCTGGTGGAGGTGGCAGATGACAGTGTGGAAGCGAGGTGTTCTACCTGCCTGGAAGAGATAGAGCCACCAGTCTGGGTTGGAGTCCCTGCTGTGGCCAGGCGACCTGGTGAAACCTCTCTCATTGCCTGGTTGTTTAGAGGCCAGGGAGACACACGGGGTGAAGCTTACTGTAGCTGATCCTGGGCCCAGAGTAGGGGCTCCGTCAATCTGTGTGCCTTAGAGCTAGGCTGGAAGCAAAGGGGACCCCCTGCTGGAGCTCAGCAGGCACCTCCTGGGCCCCTGGCAGCTCTGGGGCTCCCTTTCTTTAATCTCCTCCCTCTTTCCCACCAACGGGCACTCTCTGTCCCCCTCCTTATTGCATATCCATGGGTTTTCACCTCGGAAAGACCCTTCTGCCTAAATTCTTATCTGCTTCCTGTGGTTAATTTGGTCAGATTCTGTACATCTGTCTGAGTCATGGTCCACTCCTGGCTCTGCTGCCTCGGTACTGGGCTTCTCATGGCCTCCGTCCTGGCCCCCATGCAGGTGAGCTGCTCCTGTTCCACTCTGACCACCTGACTCTTCTTTGCCAAGCTGCTCTCATCCTCTGTGGCAGAGAAGGGTTCAATTTCCAAGCTTCCTCCGAGCACTCACTCTAAAGCCCAGTATCATTCTCAGCACTTTCCACGCATCATCTTATTTGACTGTGTGGTCAGGACCAAGTTAGTCATTGTTTCCTTTTAAGGGTTCAGAGAGGTTAAGGAATTTGTCTGAGGCAGCAAATGGTGGAGCCAGGGACTCAAAAACCATTTCGGGTTGACTCCAGATCCCAGGCTCTTAAACCCTCCTACGTGATTCTGTCCCGAAGCAGAGGGAAGGACAGACGAAAGTCCTTATTAGGGGGACAGTCTGAATGCCCCCTCACCCACTCAGTTGGAGGGGTGGAATTTGGGTCCTGAGTTCCCAGGTTGGCCAAGAAGGTGCCCTGGGATTTCCCAAAGACAGAAAAGGGCCAACCTACGTGGGAGGGAGGAAGAGTGAGTCTTCGGGGCCTGAGGAGTTCTCAGAACCGTGGCCTCCAGTGCTGGTCTAGCAGCTGGGAGGGTGCTCAGCTTCTCTGGGCCTGGTGCACACGGCTGGGGTTCATGTGCAGGCAAAGCTCTGAGGTGCTCTCTTTTTCTTTGCGCTCTGCCTTTAAGGACTCCCCCACCCTCAGCTGATGGGGAGACAGAGAAGAATAGCAGCCTGGGGGGGGGGGTCAGGGTGATGATGGATGCAGGCAAAGGGGACCTCTGGGAGCCAGAGAAAGGCCCTGCAGATGAGCTGCTATCCCCAAGGGCCACCAAATCTATGGCAGAGTGACCAGAGGTGGGAGAGCACTGGGTTCACATCTATACTCTGCCATTTCTGAGCTGGGCACCTCCAACAAATGTTCTCTGACCCTCAGTTTTGTGGTCTCTGAAATGGAAACACTTCCCCGGACTGTAGTGACCATGAGATGAAGGAACTTTGTAAAGCACATGGGGGGGGGGTGTCAGATGTCACATCCCAGCTTCCGGCTCACCTTTTCCTGCCACAAGTCTCCAAGAAGAATCCTCAGCGGCTGCGCTGGGAGCTGTGGGAGTCAAGGGCTCGATGCTCACTGAGCGGAGGTCTCTGGGCTCCATGTGGCTTTCCTCCAAAGGGGACCTGGGTGAGAGACGGAGGGTGACTGAGGACGACTCCCTGGGCTCAATTTAAAACAACCCAAGACAAACACAACACAACCCCCAAGAGGGAAGGGCCACAAGGTTTATTGGTGGGCTGTCAGGGACTTGAAATCCCAAAGACGCCACTTCTCTCTCAAATCTGGGAGATCCTAGAGTGGGGTGAAGAACACAGAGTCTAGATCCAGACTCCCGAGGTTTGCTTCTTGGCTTTATGACCCTCAAGAGCAGGAAGGGAACTTCAGTGTTTTCTTCTATTGCCCAGGGTCTTCTATTGGATCTTCTATTCCTCCGCCGTAAATAGCATCCGTATAATGTTATCAGTGTCTTCCTCCTGGGGACACAGGAGGGTAATGGGGGGTAAAGTATCTAGGGAGATGCACATGGAAACTGGGGTGGGGGGTAAGTGGTAGCTGCTGTGTTTCCGCTGCTGGGACACTGACTTGGAAAGGCCAGAAGGGCCTTCAGGGCTTCTCGGTGCCTGGTTTCCAGATGGGCAGCCCCAGCCGTAAGAGTCCCTTGCTGGGGTCCAGGAGAGGGGTGCATAGGCAGCCCACCGGCCCCCATCTCTGTTCCTTGTCTGTTGCACAATTGAGTTCCCCTGTGAGAGATGTTGGGATGAGTGTGGGGAGGAGGGAAGCTCTGCTGGTCTTATAAAAGTCGAAGGTCTAGATATCTATCCCAGGGATTCCCAAATTGCACCCACATCCCAGCCCATGAGGATCGTCTGACCATTTCCCCCGCTATGGGCGCCATGTTTGAAGAGTTTGGTCCACTCCAACTGCACAGGATTAGCAGTGGTGTGTGAGGCTTTAGTGTTGGTCAGGACAGACTTTTGGAACCCTTAAGATGATGAGCCTTCATTGCCTACTTCAGGGTTGTAAGGAAGACTCCCACCCGATAGGGTACCGTGTCTCCTGAAAACCTCTGTGAACCAGGAGCTGTGGCCTAACATCACTTGATTCCACAAGCATCCTTCCTTCCTTCCTTCCTTCCATTAAAAAAAAATGTTTTTAGATGTTGATGGACCTTTATTTTGTTCATTTGTTTATATTTGGTGCTGAGAATCGAACCCAGTGCCTCACACATGCTAGGCAAGCGCTCCCCCCGCACTGAGCCTCAGCCCCAGCCTCCTTCCTTCCATTTTAGGCTGAAAGATCATAGGCATGATGGTGGGGGACAGTGGGGTTGAGGGGCTGGTGTGGAGGGGGACAAGCCTGCTCACTGTCACTCACCTGAGCCTTATTTTTAGAGTCTTGGAGAAGATCTTCTTGCTCATGCTGGTAAAACGGCCTCGGCTCTTCTGAATGTTCATTGTTATTTGAGATTTATTCATTTGTTCCCTTTGTTTGTGGAGCTATGCAAGAAGATGATAATCGATGAGAAGTCACAGATGGAAAATTGAGTTAAACTATAAAAAATAAATTAAGCCAGGCACAGTGGGGCACACCTGTAAGCCTAACCTCGGCGGAGGCCGAGGCAGGAGGATCATGAATCCAAAGCCAGCTTCAGGCAATTTAGCTGGGACCTAAGCAACTTAGTGAGACCCTGTCTCTAAATAAAAGTATTAAAAAAGGGCTGGGGATGTGGCTCAGTGATTAAGCACACCTGGGTTCAATCCCTGGCACCAAAATCAATCAATCAATCAACACATGCATGGCCAAATTACTAAGATTACATAGATTTTATTGATAAGGTTTTTTTGATGAGCTCAATAATATACTGATTCAGAGAATTTCACTTTCTATCAAAAAATTAAAAGGACAAACTTTTCTTGAAGTATTGGTCGGCTTTTAATTATGAAATGTTTTATTTTTTCCTAAACCTTTTAAGTAATTGGCCTAGAACACAAAGGGTCTGTGTTTTATAAAGATAATTTTACTGGCTTCATGTTGTCTCTTATTAGGTCTTTGATTCCTTTACAAAGTCTTTTCACTAAGAGCCGTTTTTATTTTCTTTTATGACTATGCAACTATCTGTAATTGACTTTAAAATCTTTAGTCCATACATATTTTTTTTACAATGTCCTGTGATCCTATTTAACTAAGCATTTAAAACTTCCACACATGTTTAACAGCTCCCCGCAATCAAATTCTAAATTGTCTTTTTTAACCTCAAATTAACTATGAGAGTTTTAAGACGCTGAAGTATCTCAAAAGATTTTGTTTTCTTTTCTTATAGAAAGAGAGATGCATGAGGAGTCACTGTCAGATAATATGTGAGGCAGGGGCTCCCTAAGTTGTATTTGTTATTGATCTGAGCATTCCAGGGATTGTATGAAACTCCTGGGAACCCAATATGTCCTAGTGTAATGGTGTCATGTAATTCTAATTATTGAGTTAAAATGTTATATGTCATTAAAGTGATCAAATCTGTCAGCCGCATGATATAAAATTGCAGGACAATCTTGAAAAAGACTGATAAGTACTCTCTTCTGATAACTTTAAGACCATCCTATCGGACCGGGTCAGAATTTCCAAAGCTCTCATGGAAAATTTAGACCCATGTGATGGATCCAAGGCACTGCTAGCAAATATCAAGCAAAACAAAAATTAATTGTATGAACTGAACACCATAATTATCATTTTTTAAATGACTTTTTGTTTAAAGCCTTGTTGATCCTTTAATGTCTTTATTTTCTTGATCTAGGGAAACTTTTTTCCTCTTTTCTAGTGAGCTGTCTAGAACTTAATTGGGTAAAATATTCTTTTGTAAACAGGTTAGACAATATGGAGGACTTGGCCATTGGCCACTTGAGCCCACCATCATGGGATGACCTCACACCTGTTGAAAGGATTGATGAGATCACCTTTACTGCACCTTTGTTCCAGAAACCACTCCAACTCGATAGATAGCCAAGCGCACCCCCTAGCTCACTGAGACGATGAACAGCAGCAGGGAAATTGTTGAAGCACATGGACACGGAGACCAGGCCTGCAGGATCCCTGAGCAGAAAAAACCAGTTAGGCCTCTGAGTGACCTTAACCTTGCTTAATTGGGAAATGTAAACAAAACTTAACTTGAGTCGTTTCTGGTAAATACTCAATGTTAGATAGAAACAGTACCTAACCTCAGCCAATCCTAGGCAGCCCATGAACAGGAGATCCTGTGACTTGGAATTTCAACCATGTAAATAAACCAAAAGAAGGCAGTTTTGTAACTGTGGCCTCAAATCATTTTTAATTCTCTTCTGCTTTTTCCCTCATCAATACTTGTCTGAGGCTTTTGTCATCACAACCCTGAACTTTGGATGGTCTGAAATTTCCTAATTTTGTCATCACAACCCTGAACTTTGGGTGGTCTGGAATTTCCTAATTTCCTTCTCAACTTTCCTTCTCTTTAACATCTTATTGGGCTCAGTTTACTTCTCAACAAGCAGGGAGCCATCTGTTTTGATTTAGCTAGTTGCACAGCATTCACGGTGTCTCCCAGAGGTATATATTCACACATCAACCTAGTCCTACCAAAGCATGCTCAGAAACAGCAGCTACGGGAGAGCCTTAGGTAAACTCACTATGCATCACACATGTTCTTTGAGGTAACATGGAAACAGGTACCTAGGCGGAGAGGTGGTCATATACTCAGACACATGTATGCATCCAAAAACACATAATAAGAGGTATGCACACACATGCACTTGCATATGGGTACCTACTAATTGTGCTAGTCAGCTTTCTGTCACTATAATGAATACCTGACATAATAAACTTATAAAAAGGAAAGGTTTGTTTGGGCTTACCATCTTAGAGCTTCCAGTTCATAATGGGTTGGTGCCATGGCTTTGGGTGAAGCAGCACATCAGGTTGGCAGTTTGTGATGAGGTAAAAGCACACACCTCATGGCCACGTAGCAAAAGAAAAAGAGAGGAAAGACAGGGGTCCTATAGTCCCCTTCAGGGGCACGCCCCCAATCGCCTAAAGACCTCCCACTAGGCCCCGCCTCTTAAAGGTTCTATCACCTTTAGGTAGCAGCTCTCTGGGGACTAAGTCTCTAACATGTGGGCCTTTGGTGGCCCACACTGAATGAAAAGAACTTTCCCACAGCCCATTGTGACCAGCTCTGTCTTTGGAAGAAATTTACTGAAAGAAAAATTAAAGCAATAATAGGATACAATTTCATTCTTATTATGTTGTCAAAAAAGGAATGGCATAAGAGCCCTTGGTGCTGGAGGCCCGATGTTGTCAATTGGGCATATTTATATGGCTACCGACAGAGCTAATGGCTACATTCCTTTTAGAAATGTTTTTCCTTTGTGTTCCCATGGCCAGGGGTGTGCCCGTGTCCTCTTTTCCTAGAATTCCTCTTCTAGGAAGTTAATCTGAAGAAAACATCACAAGTAGAAAACGGGACTTATAGAAAAGCACTCAGAACAGTGTTATTTAGAAATAACCAGCTAAATGTCTATAATTGCATTATGTCACCTCCATCGGATGAAATATTTTCCAGTCATTACCATGGCAATTATGGAAATTAAGAAGCAAAATCACAGAAAAACACTCACAAGGCAGTCAGTGTGAAAAGAACACACGATTGATTTTGTGTTCGGGGTGATCGGGACAGTAAAAAGGTTTTTCTACAAAGAGAGAAATCGTGAAAGTCGAGAAACAAACAGTTCTTGGTTGTGATGCAATCATTATTGATTTGACTTGGTGTTTTTTTTTTTTTTGCATGTACTTTAATGTTGTCAAGATGATTTTCAATTCCTAAATATATATCTGTAATATAAAAGCCAAGTCAAATCTAAGTTGGCCCTTCACCGACCCACTTCTGCATCAGACTTAAGGACCCACGTGTGTGAGGGCAGACACAGACTAATGTGTAGAATAATACATGAGTGCACTTGAGTGAGCAAGCCTCCCTCCCGGACTCCACCTATGGGACTCTTACGTGACCAACTACACAGTGACCACAGCTCTCCATGGGCCTGCGCCTCAGCTCACTATTCTGCCCAGACCCAACATGCCATATGTCCAGATCACTACTGACCTGAGGACGAGTCCTCCCAGACAGAGGAATCTCCTTCCTAGATGCTAAGATGACTCTTGGTGGAAAGAGTCGTCTAGAAGTCAGGCCAGAGGATAAGTCCTTGCTTCTGCATCAACTCTCTCTGTGACCTTTGGCTAAAATAGTGAATAATCATTTTAAATTTGTTGGGCATCATGGTAGGTTCTCTATATCAGTGGTTCTCAAGCTGTAGGCACAAAGACAGGGCATAGCAAACCTGTTAATACAGAGATCACTGGGCCTTGTTCTCAGAGTTTAAGTCGCAGTAGAGCCCAAGAGCTTGTATTTGTAACAAGTCCCCAGGAGGTGCTGCTGCTGCTGCCGGCACACTCCCGAAAGCCACTGCTCACCCACACTGTCGCGTTGCTCATCATGGTCTTGCAAAAGAAGTGCCTTAAATAGCCTGCCTCTGGGAGCCTGGAGAAATGGGATGGGTTGGCCAGTCACTGAACCACCTTGGTTTCATTGTGTGTAAGAGGAGTACCAAGATCCCCTGCTTCTCTTGCAAGAGCTAAAGGCTACTATGGCTGTGAAAGGGACAGCCCAGATACTATAGAGTTTGCTCTTATGGATAGACCTGCACACACATACAGGGTGGCGGGGGGTGGGTGGAGAGGGAGAGACCCCTCTATTGTGGAGACCAACTGACCAACTTCTCCTTGGAACATGAACCATCCACAGAAGTCAGTCCTCTGCCTGCTCGTTTTCATCAGTGAGAACACGCTGACTCAGAGGTAGCCTGCATAGTTTCTGCCATCAGCAGGAATGCTCAGCAAAGTGACAGGCACTGCTGGTGACTTTGCAAGGCACACCACCGTTTGTGGTCTGAGGCTTATCACCTCCATCCACGGTGTGCGTGGATGAGCTGGGTACTCTGAGGGTTGCATAGAAGTGACAGGAAATGTCAGTTGTTTGATGAGGTCTTTGACCTTTCTTGTGGTACCCAGAGGGGAGGTTCCGTTCAGTGCCTCCTAGCCGAGCACAAGGCAATCCCAAGTCTGTGATGGGGGCCCTCCGGATGCTCTCAAGGGAGACGAATCTTAGAGCTGCTACTTTGATGCTGTGGGTGCACCAGTCCTTTGGGTGCACCTCAGTTTTCTCATCTGTAGTATGGGGAGAGGGACGCCATCCCTCACTGGGTGGTCCTAGGGTCCAGTAGGCCAGTGTCTGTTCAGAGCATGGCTTGGTGCCTGACAGAATTTCCTGGAACTTGATGAGGTGGCTCAACTTTTTCTAAAGAAGGGTAAAAGTCTGCATGCTTCTAGGATGCTTTCAGTTTAAATGCAACCACAGAGGGGGATTTACATCACCAGACACCAGGACTTGTTCTGAGTGGCAGGTCAACATTGGATTGACCAAGTTGACCAATGAAATGAAAAGTGAAAGTTCAGGATCAGAGCCACGTGTGCATGAAGCGGTGGTGTGTGACACAGTTTCTCATGTTAGATCAGAGGGGACAGGAGGGACAGATCAAAGGCGAGGCCTGGAGAAATTGCAATCTGTAAAAAAAAAAAAAGGTCAAATTGGATCCATACATTCTACAGCACACAAAGAAGATCAATTCCAGATGGTTTAATGGTCGAAGGATGTCTTAAAAAGTTTTAAAAAGAAAATCTTGATGGATTTTTTTTTTGTAAATCTTAGGGAATATATTTTAGCCTTGTGTCTTTAAATAAAGCAAAAGTGTTGATGTAAAAGAAATGGCTGACAAATTTGTACCTAAAGGACGAGTTTTCTTGCTTTAAAAGACAACCCGAAAACAAGTTACAAATCAGAGAATCTGTCATGATGCACATACCTACAGGTTTAGTACAAGAGAATATGAAGAGCTCCTCCCTCTCCATCGGATGCTGTGTTCTTGTTTAAAATGATTCAGAATATGTTTTCCCACACCACTGACTCTGGGCTTAGCCACATTTTTTCCCTGAGCCAATAGATACTAGTAGAGAGGACATGTGTCATAGCCTGGCAGAAGTTTGGAAAGCATTGCAAATCTCTGCCAACACTTTCTCATGGATTCTTTGCCAGGAGAATAACACATCCTCAGCAAAAGCTGTTCCTTACCCCAAGCCCAGGAATAGGGAAGATTTGACCCAGCCCACAGCTTGGAGCCAAGATGCAATGGGATCGCACACTTGGGAGCAAGATAGCCATGTTTCTTGATGGAAGTCATGGATATTTTGGGGCTGCTTGTTATTGTAGCAAAAGCATACTAACACAGAGATTAATGCCTAGAAGTGAGTGTTACTCTAATTAGATGTATAATTTTGGCTTTGGGGCTAAGTGGCAGGCAGCAAGATCATTTCTACACAGGATTGGAAAAATGGTAACCTACATAAAGCAGTACTATAACATTTGGTAAAACCGTCACATGTCTAACTTGGAAGGCAGAAAATAAAACTACTGAATCTGAGGCTTTGGGAGAAGAGGTTTAGAGACCAAATGTTGTTGTGTGTGTTAATGGATGCTAGCTGCGCTGTGTTGCAAGAAGTGCTACGAGAAAGATGACATCAGCAAAAGAACTGGCTCATTTGCAAACGAAACTGAAAGGAATCAGAGAATCTAGGCATTCTAGGGCATACAGGATTTGAAAGATGCAATCATCTCTTCTTTCTCACCTTTGAAGTTTGTAAAATATTCTCAAAATAAGACATAGCTTTAGAGCACAGATCAAATCAAAGCATGGTTATTAACACTCAACCTGGTGGCCAGGACCAAATCCAGGGCATGAGGTCACCGTCTTTGATAAGACCTCTGATAAGAAGAATATCTTCCTAGGAAATCCTGTTATTTGGATAAAAAGGCTCACGGGTAAGAGATGGTCTCATAAAACCTGATGGTATTCAAGTGCTTGAGGTCACATCTAGAGAGCAAGGCCTTTGTACAAATAAACTGTGGGTTTGGCTACTGATAGTTCAAAAGCAGTCTCTGAAGCCAGGCATGGTGGAGCATAGCTTTCATCCCAGCGACTTGGGAGGCTGAGGCAGGAGGATTGCAATTTTGAGGCCAGCCTCAGCAACTTAGTGAGACCCTGTCTTAAAGTAAAAAATAAAGAGGGCTGGGATGGGGCTCAGTGGTGAAGTGCCCCCTGGGTTCCATTCCTGGTACCCAAACAAAACAAGTCTCTAGGAGTGTTACATTACTGAA